GAACATTTTGACAAAAATACAGAACAAAACATTTTTTAAGTTGTTTGTCACACGCCGATGTTTCTCCTTTTTTGTCATTTTCAAAGTTGGTAGTATTAAACATATGAATTAACACAATACTGTACACAATTCTTCCACTGATTCCGGTTGCGGGCCATGTCTTCAAAAGTGCTAAGCCATTGGCACTCCTCATCTTTGGGTCCCCATCCTGGAAGACGTACGGGTCCAACAGCGGCTAGACACGACGTCAGCGATTTCATGTGCTGCCGCCAAGTGGAAGGCTGACCACCATGCGGTCGCCTCCAGCCAGGTCCTTGACGAGCTACTAGAGCGCGACGCGGTAGACGCTCAGGTGCCATGCGTAGGACATGACCGAGCCATTTTAACTGGCGCAACAAAACCAGTTTGTTGAAGGAAATACTTGCATTCCCCAAGATGCGACGTCGAACGTCATTACTATTAACTCGATGTTGCCACCGAACACGAGCGATCCTCCTTAAGCAACCGTTATCGAACGCATAAAGACGACGCATGTCTTCCACGCGAATCGGCCAAGACTCGCTCCCATACAACAATAATGAGCGAACTAATGCGATGTAAACGCGGCCCTTTAGTGAGAATGAGACGTCACGACGACGCCACAAGTGTCTCAGATTGACAAATGCTGATCGAGCTTTAGCGATACGAAGCGAAACTTCTTTGCTGATAGTGCCGTCAGCGGAAACACAGCTCCCAAGGTAGACGAAACTATCTACCTGTTCAAGTTGGACACCTTGGAGAGTGAGCACGGGAGCAGGTGAAAGCCAATTCTTAAGCAGTATTTTACACTTCGATGGGGCGAAGCTCATGCCATACTTAGATGCTTCAACCGCCAAACGATCCAGAATGAGTTGCATACCCTGAGGATCGTCACCAAGTAAGGCGAAATCATCAGCATAATCTAAGTCAGTCGCGCGCTTACCCGGTAGAAGCTCTAAGCCAAAATGTTGGAAACCTACTAGATCATTCGACAGAACGTCTTCGATTGCGAAGTTAAAGAGGAATGGGGACATAGGGCAACCCTGTCGCACACCGCTATTGACAGTGAATTGCGAGGAAAGCTTGCCATAGACCCTCACTCTGCCGGATGTATGAAGGTAAAGTGCTCGTAAGATGGCGGTATATTTCTCTGGCACCCCGTTCTTTAGTAAGCAACGCCATAAAGCAGGTCGATCAACGGAATCAAAAGCGGCACGTATGTCTAGGAATGCAACGATAGTGGGCCTGTGATAAATGTGGCGACGTTCAAGGAGTTGGCGGAGCGTGAAGATTTGATCCACGCATCCGCGGCCAGGACGGAAACCAGCTTGTTCTTCACGGTAGTATGATTCACGTACTGGGGATAGTCTACGAAGTAGAATGGATGCCAACAGCTTAGAGGCAACCGAAATAAGACTAATCCCACGATGATTTGCACATGAAGTGCGAGCGCCTTTCTTGAAAATTGGGACAACAACTGATTCGCCCCAAGAGGAAGGCACTTTCCCTTCATGCCAAATTTTTGCGAACAGCGCGGTTAGCTGGTTAATAATCGCCACACCGCCATACTTGAATAGCTCCGGAGGAAGTCCGTCTAAGCCGGCAGCCTTGAAGCGCTTCAAGCGTCGAATCTCGAGGCAGACTTCTGCTTCGCTGGGTGGATTCAATGGGACGAGACAGAGTGGACAGCAAGATGTACTTCATGTACTGATGAATGGTGGAGGCCAGTTGAACTGCGAGTGAAAGTGCTCGGCCCAGCGGTCCATACGCCTCAGTTGGTTGGTGATCGGAGACTCATCCACCTCACAAATGACCTCACTGACACCAGGCTTCCTGAGGACAGTGGAGCGAATGAGTTGGAAAAGCATGAGAGTGTTGCCAGAGAGGGCAGCACTCTCCATCTCTAAAGCACGCCCAGACCACCATGTCTCGCGATCCTTGCGTAGGCTTTGCTTGAGTAGCCGGTTGGCAGAACGGCGCCGCTCGTTGTAATCTGATTCCGCGGAGATATCTTTGCGGCGTTCGAACAGCTCCAGAGAACGAGCAGAGATCCAAGACTTCAAAGGGCGTCGAGTTAGACCGCAGCATGACTGTGCGGAAATGGTCAGCGCTTTCCGTATACAAGTCCAGTGTTGTTCCACTTTTCGCGGTGGATCGCAACTGAGTGCATATGCCAGTGAAGACTGATAGCTCGTCTGGACAGAGGAATCAGTTAATCTGTTTATATCAATCTTGCGGTGCTTCGTGTTTCGGGATCCTCCAAAACATACAGATTTTCGCGCAGACCAGAGCATGATCTGAATCAACGAAAGTAGACCAAAAGGACCTGCAGTCCAATACGCTGCCGCGCCATCTGAAGCTAATCGCAATGTGATCAATTTGAGACCAAGGTTGTGTTGGCGAAGGGGGACGCCACGTTGCGGAACGCTTCTTCGTACGCCTGAAGCTAGTGCTCGAGAGAAACAGACGGTTGTCCTCGCACAATGTGAGAAGTCTCTCTCCGTTATCAGAGCGGTTCTCATCGAGCGCGTGATGACCACCAAGGTGGCGTTCGTACGGTAACAGGCGGCCAAACCGTGCATTAAAATCCCCAGCAAGGATAACGACATCCGACTTTTTAGCATTAGTCAAGAGTTGATGTAGATCTCGGTAGAAATCGTTCTTGACCGAGTCGCCACTGCAGTCAGTTGGAGCGTACACAGATCACAAACAAGTTGCGTCTCTCTTCGCGGCGCCTGTTGATTCTACATGAACGCCGAAGCCGAACTGCACATAGTCGGCTGTTAATCGGGAACCAGTCCAGTAGTGCTGCCTCGGCCTTGTCACTCAGCGCTATACCTACACCAGCCAAATCCGCTGAGCTTGATTCTGGATCTCCAGAAATACGCAGGTGATATCTGGCTTCGTGGTCAGTGGGGGATGTCAATGTAAGCACAGTGCTGGGATCTTGCAATCGGGTTTCTGAAAGGCAGCAGACATCAATGTCTAGGGAATTTAGGGTGCGCGCTAGACCGGCTTGCTGTCAAATCTGCATGAGTGTCCGGACGTTGAAGCATGCCAGACGGAACGAGGATCGGGGACGAAGGAGAGCCATAGGTTGAACTCCTTGATCTGCAAAGTAAGCGGAATCGCAGCCAGATTGTTGAACAGATGAATTGGGTAACCGAAAGTGAGGATTGTTAGCAAACAAACAAGTGGCGTGTGATGGAGTAGGGTGAAAGGGAGTAGCAGGAGCAATAGCTGATAAGTGCGTTGTAGTACAGTCCATGGTTTTGTGAGAGGGCGTGATACTACCCGGTTGCCCAAGCCGAAGTAAGGAGTTGACTTAGGGACTCCACCCCGAGCCTTTGGCTAAATAACCTACCCGCAAGGCAGCGGGGCGAATTTAGGGAATCGCGCCCATTGGGAGGCGTTGACTGAATGATCAGCTCATGCGTCTTTGTTTGGTAGATTACCAAACAGGGGCCCAATACTCCCCGTGAAGTCAGCACAATTGCTGGAATACAATGCCCCACGGTGGAACATTGTCGCCGAACACTTTGCTGGAACGGTGTACACCCGAACCACTCAGCTGGCACCACGAGGAGGTAGTTCGACTGAATCACGGGGAATGCTGATCCTCATCAATCCAAAAATTCTCATTTATTACAATGAATCAAGGAAGACAGGATCTGAGTAAAGAAATCTTTTCGGTAATTCTCATCAGACTCAAACATTACATGATGACGAGAAAGTGATAAATAGGCCGGATTGGGCAGCGTATTGAACGGAATGTGTAATTTAACAGGAACAAATCAATTAATCACGGGGTCACTGTAAGTGGCAAGTAAGTACAGGGGAAATCACAGCCGAAGTTGTAGGCCACGGTAGAAGTAAAGGACGTACAAAATGTTTTTGTACGCACAATTCTGGCTTGAGGTGGCGGATGTAGATAGCTTCCGCAATAGACAGAAGATGCTTCCGGAATCCGCGCATGAAACGTTCAGGAACAGTGTAGATGACTCTAAAATCATTTTCCGTCCCTGCGTGACTGCACTTTAGAAGGTGAGACAAAATGGAACAGTGACTGGACCTCGCTTCGCCTTTGTAAAACCACTTTGGGATGTTTTCGCGAATCCTACGATTTAGGCGCCTCGTGGTACGACCCACGTATCGTGCACCACAGGAGCACGAGTAAAGATAAACAAGCATTGATCGAGTCACCGAAGGCAGCCTGTTTTTCAAAGGTTATGTTCAGTACGCAACCCAATCCGGCCTATTTAGCACTTTCTCGTCATCATGTAATGTTTGAGTCTGATGAGAATTACCGAAAAGAATTCTTTACTCAGATTCTGCCTCCCTTGATTCATTCCAGCTGATCTGTTCATTAAAGGGGGGTGGATCCAACTGCCTTGGCAAGTGTTACCAAAACAATAATGGTTATGGAAATAATGATAATAACAGTCCAAGAGGATGGAAGAACGACTTAAATGGTCAGATGGAGTGGACGCGGATGCATGAACGTAAATGACCCGTGGCTAAGCCCTATTCGATAACGACCCGGAGCTAACCTGCAGGCATTTTGAAACACTCAACACGAGCTGACACCTTAGATGGGTTAGCAGCAGCATTCCGAGGGACGCGCCTGAAACCAAGTCAAATCGCTGTTGCATCGAACCATGAAATTCAGAGGCGACGTATTCGACAAATACTAACGGAATTTAACAATTCGATTAGGCTTTCGGCCAAAGATCGAAAAGGAGATGGGGAATAAAATCGGCATGGGCGTCACAAGCACAGCTTAAAATGCAACGAGGAAATTTACACTATGTTGTATAGAGCACAGTTCGCGAGGAATATGCAGGTAACAAACAGAAAATGGGTGCAAACATAACGAAGCGTTCAAAGAAGACAGAAGCAGGCCACTCCACATGATATATTATAGTATTAAGTATGAAAGTACAGCAAAAACGTGTGGTCGAAAAGAGAAAGAATAAGATTTGTTAAACAATAGATATCGAAACGGACTGAAGTGACAGTAAGGAGCGCCAAGACACTGGTGCATTTGTAATTCCTGTATAATCTCGTCTCCAAAGTGGAAAGTCATCAAAAGACAGATGACCAAAAAAGGACTGAGTGGAGTTCAACGGTCCGTACTGTGAAAAATTCAGACCCAAAGGTGCTTGCGAGCCAGGGTACACCTGAGAAATGGGAAGATTAAGGAGCAGAAGATACACATCTGCAAAAAACTTTCGGTTGGGCCGAAGGGAAGTATTAGGGAGAGCAAAGATACCCATCAGGAACAAAGGGTTGAGGTGCATTGATGAGAAAACAGATCACCCCACTGATGCAGAAAATAATCAAGACAGACGAAGTGAATGATTGTATATGACAGTAGAGCGAGAACAAGTGGAGTACATGGGTGTGAAATGCCGCATACAGAAATGAGACGATACAAACAGAAGGCTGTTGCAATGGTTCAAGAAAACATGACCAAGGCGACAATAAGAAGGTTAACGGAAACGCTTAGCTGATGAAAGGGGGCGAAGGAGAAATGACTCTAAGCGGGAAATTCATGTAGGGGGTTGCGCAATCGGCAAGCAAAGTGAAAACTTGGCAAGTCGCTTATCATTGTTAGAGCTTATTCGCTCGTGCGAATCTGTTTGTTTTGATGAACAAGCAGCAGATGCTCCTCGTGGGAACTCCAACAGAGTAAGGGTAACGCGACAGTATCCAAAAGTAACGGTAGCAATATATCAGTAAGCTGAACTGATGCTTTGTTGCTGTACAACCAGAATGATGTAGAAAATGAGGAATATGACGGAGAGAAGGGGAACTTACAGTAAAACCTAGACAATCTAGGCAAACAATCAGGGTTAAGGCGCATACACCTTGTCTACAACGCATGGTCACGGACAGCTGATTTCCGAGCGAAGGCGGCATCGGCCAGACAGGTTGCATTCGACTTTAACTGCGTTTGGTTCAAACAGTAGTACTGAACAAACAACACAAAATCGGACACAACCTAAACAGATAACCCGGACAGCAAATGTGCGGCCGGGAGCCGATTGCAAGTCATATCCTGTAACGTATCGAGACAAGCACAATATGGGTAGCGCGTACTCCAAGCTAGAATGCAAGGAGGAGCAACAGCACTGAGTTTGCTCGTCAGTGGGTTCAGTTCCCGATTCCAAGTCGATGCAGTTATTGTGGGTAGAAATGCGTCCGACCTTCCCTAAGTGCACTGACTAAGGCTCCGACCCGAATAACGGGGCACGGTAGAGAAGCGTACGATGGTCCCCTCAATGGTAAGTAACTCATCCGTCTGAGGAAGCGATCGAAGCTGTGAAAGGTAAATCAAGTCTCAAATATCGGCTGGTAGATGGATGACCAAGTTTCTGCTGAGCGGTGTGAAACCAGTTGGTAACTCAGACGATGGGGTCCGGCGAAAAGTACACGAGACTGAGCATAGCTCGGTGTCCGTCACGATGTGCAGTTGGAACCAACCTAGTGCCAGCCAAGAGATGTGGTTGGAAGTCGTCTGGCTTACAAAGATTGCTAGGGGTTGCATAACGATGAAGCATCAGTGTCAACGCGTTTGGGGAACCGTGATGTAGTGGCCCACGCGGCAACCAGTAGCCGGTGGATATAAGACGTCTACCCAGTAATACAAAGGCTACGGGCTCGAACCGGCCGCCTACCACGCGGGTACGCAACTTGTGACTGTCAGAAGGCGGTGATGCATCGGCACAACATACCATCGTGCTACTGATGTCAATGTCATTCCAAGCGTCAGGCGTGTGATCATTGTGCTACGGATCAGAGACCCCTGGTTCTGCAATATCCCAGTCGGTGTAATATCACTTGTGAATGTATGAGAGCGAAGTAGCAGTACAAAGCACCGGCGAAATGTCGATACCCACCTCAAACCGTTGGTAAACACCATACAACATGCCTCTGCAGAAGTTCGTTGATAGTACAGGGAGTAAAGGTGCACTTGTCGACGATTCGTCTACTAAGGTAGTCGATGGGGATCCACGAGCATTGTGAGTAGGGGTAAAAGTGACAAAGCCTGGGACCGCAAAGTGATACCGCTAGAGATTCCGTAACTTGAGGGGCACTAAACATTTGATATTTTCTTGAATAAAAACTGAAGAACTGAATGGATAAGAATTGGTAGTGTGCGCATCTGTCGCCTGGTTAACTTTACATTTTATGTGAACAGAGCTGCGGAGATGACAGCGAACTGAGTATATAGGCTATGTTGTTATGGATATTAACGTCATCATAATGCTACCTGTCGACTTATGGTATGCCAACAATATGATAATCAAAATGTTTTGGTGGGAGAAGCCCCGGTCGGTATCCGAGTAGTCTGCGCGCGTGGTTTACAGCCATAAGATTACATGTTCGAATCCGCGTAGGGGTTAGCGCCCTCGCCGTATACTCAGCCCGCACGTGACTGATGTTCGCGTGGCAGTGAAGCGCCGTTACGGCGTACAGCTGGCGATTTAATCTTATTTATTTTTATTCTATACAATGTAGCCGATGGCAACCCAGTGTGGGAAAAGCAGAGCGGTGTGTGTGTGTGTGTGTGTGTGTGTAAACGCATGTGCCCAAAGATGACAAGTCAGAAAGACACTGGTTACTGTTGCGGGCCCGTCAAATATCCCCGCAAAAACACACCAGAAACTCCGGCATAATGGCTGTGGAAAGCGAGGTCCAATTCCTCCCCACAAGGCAGCAGTGTTCAGCCACTCCGAGACGCGGCCCAACTGCGCATCTGTTGACAATGGTCTTTTACAAACTACCACCCCGTCGTGGCAGCTATTTTCCTTAACTTAATGACCCATAGCATTGGCTGTGATTTGCCCTTTTGGTCGTAAAATAAGCCTTCAGGGGATCACCTGTCTTGCTTCCTCTTCGCCTTAGTTGGAAGTCGGTCGGTCACGTGATTTTGTGTGCGTCGTTAGCCGGGCAGCGTTCGCGTCTAAGTCACTAGCACGCGACTAACGTAACCCCCTCTCGTGTGCGTTCGTTCCGAGGGCTCAGCGTATACCCGAATACGTGAGACTAGGATCGTTCTCACGCTTGCTCAATTTCCGTCTCACCAGCGCGTCCCCCGGGATAAACTAATGCCATCAGATCAGCGCAAGTCCGTTCAACTGGCCAGCGTAGGCGTACTCCTTGACCGTGCTGGCGTTACGCAATCATAACAGAGGCGTACCACAATTATAACAGTTACCATGACGTGGCTGAAATACGGTGAATAAACTTCACCAGGAACAGACAAATCGAAAGAGCGTCGATAAGGCAGAAGCATCAACAGTACGCCGACACATTATATCGACGTTTCGTTGCAACGCCACCAGCACTTGTCGCGCGTAAGCCGGGTAAATCGCGAGCACGCCAGCACCTAGGCGGATTCGAACCGGTGTTCTCCGGAGGCCGAATTCAATGCTGTTTCGTCAAATGATTGCTATGTGGTTTCAATAGACAAGAGAAAAAAAGAAGGGAAACTCACGACGTGTACTATTCGCCTTTGCCCAGGGAGTGGATGCATATCTCGTAAATGCATCAACGTCTCGTTCAACGTATCAATAGTAGCACCGGAAAGGTCCACTAGGACATTGCATTGGGAGAAATTTGGTTTTGTGCAATTATCAGCAAGACGACCAAGAGGGAATCGAGGTGGCATATAGGTGTGATAAAATACATACACAGGACAAATGGACGAACTGGTAGGCGACCAGGGGACCACAGTGCGGAGCATCGGCAACAAACCGCCTTGATGCAGACTGCCGTAGAAGAGTAAGAGGATGAGTTGCTGCAAAACCCAAGTGCAAGCAAAGAAGACGCTCCATTTACCAGTAAAACTGAATTTCGGGCAGCCATTCATTGTTGCAGTTTCGCAGTTTCGACGTTCCAGATCAAGGCCAGCAATACAACAAGCAAAAGGAAGAAGTGGTATAAGGAAACGAGGTTCCTGATGTGGGATCAGAGAGAGAAAGGTCAGAGGGACGATTACGCATAGCCAACACAGGACCACAGGGAAACAGAACGTTCGGGGTTTCCGCAGCGCCAACAGAGTGACAATAGGAGTTAGTATTAATGGTAAATTGACCAGGACATGAAGATATCGTGGATGAAGGCCGTGCGCAGCCAAGTGATCCGTCGCAGAGTTGTAGGTTAGAAAGCGACAAGGAACACAAATGAAGTCAGTAAGGGTCAGTTGGGTAGTTAAAGAAGAATACGAGAAGTAAGCAGTGTCTAGCAATAAACATAGGTAGACGGTCCATGAAGCTAGAAGAACACAAACAGACGACGGGTAGATAAACAACAGGCGAAGTTTATGAGCGGCGTACACAACCTCAGCGAGGGCCATGGGGAGAATGAAAATTGGATAGGTGGGTCGCAGAAAAATAGCCCAGCTAACCAATACGGATTGGGCGCACATTGCGAAGATGATGGGCAGCAAACGAGTGAACGCCGTGTAGGAGTGAATTAGATGTAAGCGTCGCATGATAAACATAAAGAGTAGACCGAAAACCGCCACAGCCGCTGCCTCCCAAGTGTTTACGAGGGTACGTCCGGATAAAACAAGCCCACCAAAGGTGGCGGATGCGTACAAGAGCAACGCGACCGGTGGTCTGTGGGGGAACCAGGGATGATCGGTTGTGTAGGGAGAACGCAAATAGGTGCTAGCTTGGAGAATAAATACGTCCACAGCGAACGAACTGAGTACTGTGCATAGACGGACGGGAAAGATGACACGATCAATGAGAATCGATCCGCTGTGCCCAATATGGCAATCAGGCTGGGCTGAAGAAGGAAAGAAGTGGAAAGAAATTTATGGTGAGCGCAGAAAGATCAGTGGGTTCAGAAATAAACCGTAAGAGAAAAACAAGAGGATGTTCCTTGTGCGAGAGCGGAAGAGAAAAAAGCAGGTACTAGCACGTTGCGTTGGAAAGTGGATGAGATAGATATCATCATCATTAAGCTAGCCGGGTAGCATTCATCGGCAGTCGTTAGCATCACCAACAATCATTTAAGCAGACGAATCTCTGCAGCACAAACTGTGACCTACGGAATAAAAAACAACAAAGCGGCTCAAATGTACAAGAACCTAGACGAACATTCCGGGAAACAGTGGCCAGGCCTCATCGACTAAATGCAATAACAAACAGGTTGATGTCGTGCGAAAAAAGCGCGATACCACCGAGACAGCATCTTTGCGGATTCCATTGCACCGCGCATAATCAGCCATCAACAAGTAGATAACACAGCATTCATTAAATATTCGTTATATACCTTAACAAGAGGTGGAAAACACTTCAACTAGTGCTCCGTAACACACACCAGCTGAGCCCCTGGTAACAGATGGACATCGTTCCAGAGAGCTACCAGTCGGCTATTGTGCCGCAAAAATAGATGTTATGCCCAGGAAATGAGACTGTGGTTGGAGGAGAGGGACAGAGGAACTCGCAACACAAACGCCACTGAAGTCCGCTGCTAGACATACCAACAAGTACATCCAGTCAAACGTGTTCATTGTCTTTCGGGCCTCAATCGGGGAGCCAAGAGGCTCCGACCAATGCAAACTTCAAACTAAGGACCTGAATTACTTTTGACCAAGTAATGGTTGGCCTGTCCTCTTATTCAACCACACCCGGTACCGGATACAGCAGAGGTCGTGGGAGTTCGCGTGTTGGCATGCACAACATGTGGTCCAACCAGTATAGGACGCTAAGCAGGCAAACCTGAGAGAAGAAAATAGCAAAAGTACCACTGGTGCCACTGCGAGTCATGTCCAATACGTCTCGAGACAAGTACAAGACAGGTAGCGTGAACTCTACCGTGGGAGACGAAACGAATCAATAATCATTCATTCATCATCCATTATACACATTAGCTGCAGGTGGAAAACACCTCAGCAATTGTGTTGCAATACTAAAGACAAGAAGAAAAATTAAAAAACAGTGGCACGCCAGCTGAGTCCCCAGTAACGGATGGACCTCGTTCCGGAGAGCTAACAGCTGGCTATCGTGCCGCAAGAACTTATATTATGCCTAACGAGTGCGACTGTGATTGGAGCGGGATGCTAAGCAGAAGGGAGATAAACAAAGGAATTCACAACACAAACGCCATTGGGGCTTCTAGGCATATCAGCAAGTGTGTCCAACCAAACGTGTTAATCGTCCTTAGAGCCCCAGCCAGGCAGTCGATATGCACCAACCGAGTCAAACTTCGAAGTGAGGGTATTCATCTCTCTCGACCAAGTCATCGCTTGGCCTCCCCTCCTCTTCCAACCGCACCCAATGCTGGCATGCGCAACACGTGACCCATCCATCTGAGCCTGGTGCGTGATATAATGGTGCTGAGCGGCTCACTTGCTCTTCCTGCACCAAATACGCGACGCCGAACACAGATGGCTCACACGGTGCTCCCACCAGACATGATCTAACTGCGAAGGCAGAGATGATCGAATGTGATGAACTTTTTTATGTCTGTCGACCTGATGGGCCTGGTTTCCCAACCATATAGGAGAGTCGAACGGACGGCTGGGTTATAAACTATGCCCTTCAGGGTGGGAGTAATGTCGCATCTGCGCCACAAGTGGCGGATATTGGCAAAAGCACCTCGAGCTTTTGCTATACGGTTCGTAACCTCATCTTCGGTCCCACGGGCGCTAATATAGCTACTCAGGTATTTGAATCCCTGAAGGACGTCTAGCAGATAACCACAAAGGGGTGGGTCCCTTCCAATCTTGGAGAAGTACTTTGCATTTCGATGGAGCAAAGTATAGCCCAAAACGATGGGCAGCCAGACCTAATACGAACCAATAGTACCAAGTTTTGTAGTCAATGATCTAATGTCTAGGTGCTTACTTCCATCAACCTCAAAACTTGCGCCGCTCTACATTTGGTAAACAAAAATGAGACCCACCTCGGTAAGCGGGAAGCGGACACACATAGTACATGCCCAAGCCAACGCAACTTATTCAGTGCTATTTGTTGTTCTAAGGAAATAGCTGATTATTACTGCCTATTAAGCTTACGCACATTATCGTTGCGGACACGCCGGCGTCATGCACCATCAAAGCTACGCAAATAACGATTATCTAAGACTTGAAGTCGCCGCAGGTCCTCAGATTGAAGGGGTCAGCCCGATGAAAAACAAGCGTGTAAGGCTCACTTTCGCTCTAGAGTTGATGTAATGGACACAACATGTGTTTGATCTGACTGTATTTGAGCTAGATATGCTGTGAGGAATGCGGAAAAGTAGTTGAACCTGTATTTGGAAATTTATCGAAGTCGTCCTCTTGCCTTACTTGGTGAGGACTAGCAGTATGCAAAAAATTGTAAACCGTTAGGGGATGGAGGCATCTAAGTACTGAATGTGCTTCGCCATGTAGAAGTGCAAACTGCTGTCTCAGAATTGGCGCTCCCCCGTTCCCGTGCTCACTCTTAACGATACAAAGCTTGAACATGAAGATAGCTTTGTCTACCTCAGCAGCTCTGTGTCTGCCGGTGATACCACTGCAAAGGAATTTTCTCTACGCTTCACCAAAGCTTGGTCGGCGTTTGTCAACCTAAAAAACTTGTGGAGCCGTCGGAATGTCTCCTTCTTGGTAAAGGGTCATCATCATCATCATCATTATTATTGTCAGCTAGAGATGGTAAAACACCTCCGCTATTGTACCGCAATACATAAAGGAAATACATACATACATACAACGCATAAAGGAAAAATAAATACGATAGTTGAATGCCAGCTGAGCTACCAGCAACGGATACGCATCGTTCCGGTAAGATACTAGCCGGCTACTAGGCAAAAAAAAAAGTTTACTTACGTTTTACCCTACGAAATAAGATGGTAGATGGAGGGGGAGGCTAAAGGGGTGGGGAGGGACAAAGAAACTCACAGCAGGAACGCCACTGAGGTCGGCTCCTTGCCATATCAGCAAGTGTATCCAGCCAAACGTGTTCACCGTCTTTTGGACCCCAACCAGGGAGCCGTGAAGCTCCAACTGAGGCCAGCTCAGAAGTGAGGGCCTTCATTCCTCTGGACCAAGTCATCGCTTGGCCACCTCTCCTCTTCTTCCATCCACATCCCCGGTGAGCAAACAACGCACGTCGAGGGAGTCGGTGGGCTGGCATGCGCAAGACGTGGCCCAGCCATCGGAGCCTGGTGAGTGAAATGACGGTGCTGAGCGGTTCATTCCCTTTTCCTAGGCCGTAAACAAGGCGTCGAACACGCTCGTTACTCACGCGGTGTTCCCACCAGATGTGAGCCAAACTGCGAAGGCACCGATGGTCGAACGTAAGTAGCCTCTTCATGTCCGCCGATCTTAGGGGCCAGGTTTCGCAACCGTACAGTAAGGTCGAACGTACCGCTGCATTGTACACTCTACCCTTCAGGGCGAGAGTAAGGTCGCGCCGCCACCATAAATAGCGATGGTTAGCAAAAGCGCCTCGAGCTTTTGCTATACGGTTCGTGATCTCATCTTCAATCCCACGGGCGCTGATACAACTTCCCAGGTAGTTGAATTTTTGAACGACTTCTAGCTGATCCCCACCAAGGGTCAGCGTAGGAGGCGGTCCAGGCCAATCTTGGAGGAACGCTTTGCACTTCAGTGGTGCAAAGCAAAGCCCGAAGCGGCTGACAGCCAGTGCTAATCTGTCCAGCGCGGCTTGACACGTCTGGGAGCTGTCACAGATGAGGGCAATGTCGTCTGCATACTCTAAGTCAAGAAGACGTTCTCCTGGGAGTAGCTCCACACCTTCCAAGTCATGTCCTGCAAATGCAATCTCCATGACTTCGTCAATAGCGAAGTTGAATAGGAAAGGTGACAGCGGGCATCCTTGTCTCACACCGCTGGAGATATGGAATGGTGGCGACAGCCTGCCGTAAGCCCTCACTCTGCCCGTGCTACGCGCATATAATGCTTGGATAATATTTACATATTTCTCGGGCACACCTTTCCTGAGTAGACAATTCCAAAGGGCACATCGATCAGCCGAATCGAAGGCACCTTTGATGTCGAGGAACACGACAACGGTGGGCCGCCAATATGTGTGACGGTGCTCCAACAACTGACGCAAGGTGAAGATGTGGTCGATGCAGCCACGACCCGACGAAACCCGGCTTGCTCCTCACGAAGGGTTACGTTTACAATGCCACCGTTCAGGTTGTGTTGCTATATGGAGGCGAGCCGTTGCCAGTCTGTGTGGATGACATGCGCGGGAAGTCGGCCCTCGGCAGTGGGTGCTTAAGGATGACTGCTCCTGTGTGGTGGCAACGACCAGCCTGCAACAGTGAAGTCCGACGTCGTGTCTTATGGGATGCGAGTATTACCCTCAACGTGTTAGTTTTGCTGCACCATTTAGAATAGCCCGGTCACGTCCTGCGCATGCAAGCTGGACTTTTGCCTTATCGCACCATGTTCGGCGTGCAGGACTCGGTGGGAGGAGACCAAGCGGTGGTCAGCCGTCCACCGGGTCACAGAATACAAAAGGCTTCACGTTGGATGCACACGCCTGCCAGGTTGGAGAGGGGAGGAGGGAGAGTGCTGATGAATCGAAACAATTCAGGATAGAGCGCGTAATCGAAACCAATGGAAGATCTGTGTACATACTTGTTCAGCTCCAGATGCTTAATGACTAACAACAAAAAATGACAAACAAAAAATAGCATGTGAAAAACAAAAGAAATGTTCCGTTTTCTTTGCGCCACAACAGTTGAAGCGTGTTGCTCACCATCAGCGGATGTGCAAGTAGGAGAATGCGGCTACTTCGCACATCATTTTCCGTTGATTTTCA